CACTTGAGGGGCTGTCACTCGCCTCTCTCTCTCTCTCTCTCTCTCTCTCTCTCTCTCTCTCTCTCTCTCTCTCTCTCTCTCTCTCTCTCTCTCTCTCTCTCTCTGTGTGTGTGTGTGTGTGTGTGTGTGTGTGTGTGTGTGTGAGTGCGTCGATGGTCCGTCCACGCCGACCTTTCATCTCGATCAAATGAACTCTGAGCACAGAGGTTCACATAAAAATAAATACTCGTCAGAGACGGGCCGTTCAGCTCTTGTTCACAGCCTTTTGTGTTATATATTGAGAGAAAATACCTCTCGTATGGCGCTGTGCGTTGGTCTATGAGAGGTTGAGGTGCGAGCCCTGGAGGCCCTGGGGATGGGGGGAGACTACCCGCGGGCCTAGAAGGCCCGCGCGCAGGGGGTTCACACTGTGGCGTCACGCTCACGGCAGACGCGATCGATCGAGAGAAACGGACTAAAAAGGCCTGGAGTCCGCGCGCTGCAACAACCTGTGCGCCCTGTGAACTCGCACGGCATTCTCATGGCCGATCGGAGCGCGCGCACGTGCTACGCCTACGCCCTACCCCTCAAGCTCAGCAAAGGCCGGGAATGCTGAGACTGACTTCTCTCCCTCAATATGCACGAGAAGCAGCCTGGCGTCGCCACCAGCGAAACACTGAGACGGAAGCCGGAACGAGGAGGGCATCCCCGCCTGCTCGAGGGCCGCCACGAAGTAGGGTCTGGCCGGCCTGCCCGGGTCCGCCACGATGGCGCGACCTCCGCGCCTCACCATCTCGATGCAACAGCGCTGCCATGAAATGAATCCACTTCATGTGTATCGGATCAACGATCGTACTGCGAAGGGCTCGTGACTGTCCATGTGTGTCATTCACTTCGCCAAGAGCACTCACAGAAGTCACTCTGCGTGTTCAGAAAAGTGAACTGCCTCGGTCGACACAACGTTTGAAATTACACTCCATTCGTGAAATTACACGTTTGAAATTACACTCAGTCGGTTGCAGGATGTTCGTGCAGTGCCACGAGGGACACGCCCGCGAGGTCTCGCGGTGTTGCCGTGCCCACCGTCTCTTCAAAGAGGACTACGAGGTTACGCACGGGCGCGAGCACCTCGGTCGGCACGTGGTACAGAGTCTGCGTGGGCCGCCCGCATGCCTTCCAGCGCATGTAGCAGTGGCCATGCTTGACGGGCGGCGCGCACGCGCCCTTGCACTCCCCTCGTCGCAGCCAGTATCGGCCCAGATTGAAGCCGTTGACGTAGGCCACACCCTGGGTCATTCGTGCCCCAGCGTGAGCGAGGGCGCGTGGGAGGCAGGGGGGTAAACTCGAGTATTCGCATACCTTGTTCATCGTGCTCAGGTTGAGCGCAAAGCTCGTCTGAGGCGCACCGGCCGCCACGGTCGGCCGCGGAAGCCACGAGCGAAACCAGGTGTGCGGCAAGCCTAGATGTACAGCAAGAAATTGAGAGCGGTCTATCCGCACAAGGTATGATTCCCATCTATGGCAGCTAGCCGTCAGCCTCGGCGGTGCTCTTTGACCAAGGCACACCGCCGGTGCCCTCCGCCGTGTAGATCCGCCGTTGCTCGCCAAGCAGCGGCCAGGTGTGCCTACGATGGGCGGTGTAGCGTCAACGCCGTCCTCTCCCCTTCGTTGATTGACTGGTGAGGCGGACCGCCACACCCGGCTGCAGTTGGCCAGGTCTACACCGTTTACGAGGACATTGCTAACGCCTAGCGGATTAGGGGCGGGTGTGTGTGGTGGTGGGGGGGGGGGGGTCGGGGGAAGAGGCGGAGGGGGGGGGTGAAAACAGACCGGGAAGGGCAAGAGCAAGAGGCGGAGGGAGGGAGGGAGGGGGGGGGGGGGGGGGGGGAGGGAGCTGAGACCGATGGGGTGTGGGGTGTGACGGACCCTTGCTGCTACTTGGTCCGACGCCGCCATTGGCCAGGCCCATCGCCACAGCGAGGATGTGAAGCTCGCGGCTCTGATTGCCGGCTGTGAGTGGCGTGGCGGCGGTAGTGGCGACGTCGTCGATGAAGGCGTACGCGATGGTCCCCCCCATTCCACTGACCTCCCCAGCCGGCACCGACACCGTGCGGCACTCATATCGCCGGTCTGACCGGCAAGGGGGCTCGCCCGGCAAGAGAAAAGCGCCGAGGAGTTCTGCTGACACGACGGTGCTGTACCAGAGGTAAACAGTGTCGTCCTCCGTCAGCCGTAACTGCTCAAGTGGAGAGGACGCCTCCATCTGGCGCGCGCAGCCCGGGCAGCCGATTGCTTCCTGCCAAAACTCCCACGTCACGGCACCCCCCTCGCCGCGTGAGGGGGGGGCGGGTGGCCAGGCTGCGGCTCGAGGTGGCAGCTGAGAGGTGTTGTACTCTACAGCACCCGTCCGAGTGTCGACAAGCACCACCGAGTGAGGCAGCAGCACGTACCTGTGGACACGCCCATGTATCCATGTACGTCCAATGCCACGCCCGAGGCAAGGCAAGCCGTCCGAGTGAGGCAGCCACGCCGCACCGTCGGCCGCGATACTCGACGGTACATTTTGTGACACCAGGCGCAGGGACGGTGGAAAAGCGTCGGAAGGGCTCGGTCGGGTTGGAGAGGAAGGCGAGCGATCCTAAGCACGGGTCGCGGAGTGCTGTGGACGCGATCTCGGCCGGGTTGGGAATTGGAGGAGGCTGACGCGCGAGCCGTACTCATGCAGCTGTGGACCCTGAGTCACCGATGGGGGCACAGCTGTTACGCAGAGACCCGAGGCAGCAGCAACGACGCCACCTGCCGCCGTGCGCCCGTTCACATCCCACATCTGCGCAGTTGCTTCGCCACAGACCGCTAGCTGCAGCGCCGTTGACCCCCCACGCGAGTCGGACTCGAGGCAGTACTTGCACCGACTGGAGCCCTTTGGCGGACAGGGCCGCTGCACCGCAAGCTCGATGCGACGGCTCACTGAGTCGTAGCCCCAACGTTGCGCCTCCCTTCCAGAAGCACAGACGATAAGGCGTGGCGTGATAGTGGACTCTTCCACGTTCGCCCCACCCTCCGTGTCACTGTCGGCACTCAGGCACCAGCGAAGGCGCATAGCATCCTCCGTGGCAAGAGCCCCTCCCTCGAGGCTCCACTGCTGACTGCCGTCGAGTGTGCCAAAATGCGCGGGGTCGTCGTTGCTGCAATGGCCCAGCGACACCACCGGTCCGGCCGGGGGCGTAGTCGACGGGGGCGCAACCGGGGGAGTGGCCTTGCCGCCGACGCAGCGCAGGCTCTGCGTGGGCGCGAGCGGCGCCGCCAGTGCCTCAGCGGCATGGTGCTGCAACACCTGAAGGAGCAGCGAAGCCGTTGCAGCATCGGGATAGATTCAGGGACGAGGCTGGTTAGCTAGGGCTTGGCACGGGTGAAATGATCGTGGGTTTGAGCTTCATACCCTACTTATGGGAAACTAAAAAAGAAATCGTGGGACGGGTGAAGGTGGGGTACTACCGTCGGGTCTCTATTTTAAGACCAGGTAAACAGCAATAGATCCGGGTGTAGTGCCGGATCAGTTCCTGGAGCCAGGGGGACCGATTCGCGCTTGCCAAGGGACCAATTGCTAGACACCCGGGCGGGGGGGGGGGAGGGGGCACAGCCACAGGGGGCCCGTTGCCACGCACCAGGTGAGAGGTTCCACATGCCAAACGCGCACGTTCGGCACAGCAGATACATCACACTGGCGGGATGCAAGGGTACACTCACCCAACAGTACATTCATGCCAGTACATTCATGCCGCGCCACAGGTAACATGGGGACCGATTCTCGGCAAGTTTGGCAGCGCGGGCAGTGTGAAGGATCGATTGCTGTACAACGAGGGACCGATTCCGTGAGGGCCGGGTATCGATTAGGCCGCTTGAGGGCCGGATCTATTGCTGTTTACCTGGTCTTAAAATAGAGACCCGACGGTAACCAACTAAAGTGATGGGTGGTGGTACTCTCCTGCAACCACAGTCCTTCCTGTGTGACATGGCAGGCCACTCTCAGGCCCTACAAGCATCAGATTACCCATTTGGGGACGTTTGACATCGTGATTTCCGAAAAATTTCTTTTTCTGCTGTGAAAATTCCAGCCAGCGTGAAGAGAGGGAAAAACCCGACGGGAGGGCCCAGACCTACCCTACCTACCCCGTGATGAGGCCCACCCAAGCAAAAAAGTACCTGCTCTGTCGGTCCTTCTGCTTTGTGCGGCAGAAATTCTTTTTTTCGGCGAAACGATAAAACCGCGACAACCGCGACAATCACTCTCAAAGCTCTCTGCCGCGCATCCCGGATCCAGCCGAAGCCAGAGGGACGAAGTGAACCGATGTCCCTCGCGTACCTACTCGTCACCGTGGCCGTACCTCGGCCCGCCCGGCCCGCCGTTCCAATCGGGCCTGCTTGCGAGGCGGTGCTTGCTGCTCATCTGCGGCAGGCGAGGGCCGTCGGTGCAACCTCTCTTCACACGACTTACGACCAGGATTCGGGCCGGCTCGAGTGCCGGATTGAGCTACCGCTGGCATCGAACGACGCACCAACGTTCCACCTTGGTGCCCAGGCACCCGCGGCAGCGTCCGAGCCGTGCCAGCCACGTGAGTCGCCATCCGGAGGCGGGGAGGCTGCTGGCGCGGTGGAGAGGGGCGAGGTAGACCTGGAGAGTCTTCTACATCCCACCGCAGCCGGCCCGGAGGCTCCTCCCTTCACCGAAAGCCGCACGCTTGAGGAGGAGGCTCGCTTTGCAGCAGTCGTCGGCGCGGTCAACCAGTACATCGAGTGCCACTTCTCGTGCGACGGCGGGCTCTGCCGGTCGCGCATGATCTCCTACCCGCCCACGGGCGGACGGCATCGGCTCTTTCTGTACGCTGGTGTGGCAGAGGAGTGCAGCCTCGAGACGCTCGAGTGCAGCGACGAGACGCTCGGCCGCAGGTTGCTCCAGGCCATCGTGGACTACCCGAGCACTGCCGAGGCGGCCAAAGCCTTTGCACATCACCTCACCGGAAGGCCCGAGCCGGTGCCGACCGAGACCGAGCGGCCGTTCGAGCCGGAGAAAAGCCTCCTCGCGTGATGTGGACAGGTCGGCGCGCCCCGACGGCGGTCTCCCCCTGGCTCGCCCCCACAAATCCTCTGACTCCCAGACGGACGTTGTTGGAGCAACGTAAATCTCTCAGCCGCGCGGCGAGATACGCGCGCTAGCTTCTTCCGTTCTTCTTCTCAGAATTTCCTTCCGGATGTGTCCTCTCTTAGCTCTTGTGGTTTCTCGCTTGTGCGAGATGCGCGCGCGCGTGTGTGTGTTTGTCACTTTGTCTCGGTCGCGCTCTCGCGTCCCATGTAGATTTAATAGAGTGTATCGCGCCACAAGTGTACACACGACCATTACACACGAAACCAAGACCAAGACGGTGAAGGCAGAGACCTCTGTCCGCTCCTCTCTAGCTGCGATTGCATCGGCGATTGGGGAACCGCGCGCGCAGGTAACTTGTTTCGTTACGCCCTCACATGCTCAGGTAGTCCATCAACTGCCTCCAGTCATCTCTCGCACGAGCGACCGCCTGCTTAGAGCGCCCAAAGTAGTCGGCCGGCTTGCCCTTTGCCGACGAAAATTCGATGAAGATAGCCGAGTACGCCTCGCTGTCCGCGGCTGCCAGATTGCGCATGAGCGACTCGACCGTCTCGATGTACTCCATCGGCAGGCTCTCGTCCTCGTCGAAGAGTAGCCGGAACGCCGGCTCGATCAGGTACACGGGGCTTACAGTGCCCACCGTGCCGAGGACACGGCGAACGCCATCGCCGCCACCACCCGACACCACCGCCTCAAAGTCGCGGAGGAGCCTTCCTAGTTCGTCATAGCCAGCGAGAATCTGCTGCTTTGCCGCCGCCGGCGATGCCGCCTTTGACGGTGCGGCCACCGCCGCATCGCTGCGGCGCATCACAGGCAGAAGCGAGGCTGGGACAGCGAGGAAGGCACGGCGGGGCTGGATTAGGCGGGCCGCGGCGCATGGGAGCACGAAAAGGGCGAATCGCATGCAGCTCAACACCATCGCGGGGCTTGCGCGCGAGCGGCTGCTGGCTCCCAAGAAAAGGTCAGCAGGAGCACCCTACCGTATCTCACGGCTCACGCCGCGGTTGGGTAGCGTCAAGCAAAAAAGAATTTCCCGAGGCAGCAGTTTAATCAGACGCATTGGCGCATCACACCCCTCTCCTTAAAATCCCTGTGTGGTGGCGGCGTGCCGTTCTCCCATCCCTCCCTTGGGTTGTCTGTTTTCTTTCTTTCTTTCTTACGCATTGGCGCACCACACCTCTCTCCTTAAAATCCCTGTGTGGTGGCGGCGTGCCGTCCTCCCATCCCTCCCTTGGGTTGTCTGTTTTCTTTCTTTCTTTCTTTAGACGCATTGGCCATTGGTTTGCGTGTGTCAGGCCCCGACGCGCGACGGCGACCTCGCACCTCGGCGCACGACGACCGGGCGGAGGCGCGTCGCGCACGGCTATTTTAGTGCATACAAAGGCGGGCCTCGGCACTGAAATTACTACAGCCAACAGAGATAACAGGGGTGAACAGCGCAGCGCGCAAAGTTAGAGAGGTAAGAAGAAGAGACTCGCCACCTCACTCGTCGTCCTCCTCGGGCAAGCCACGCATGTACAGCACGTTGTTGCACCGGATGAGCACCTGCGGGGCATGGCCGAGGAGGGGAGATTGCGTCACGTGCAGCAGCAGCAGCAGCAGCAGCAGCAAGCAAGCAAGCAAAGCCCCCTCCCTTTGCCCGCACCTCGCCCAGGTTTCCCGAGAACTCGCCGTCGATCCACTCCTCTGTGCTCGCCATCTGCAGCAGCGGTGGGCGCAGTCAGGGGTCCGAGCCGAGTCAAGGGTCGGAGTACGCAAGCGGCGGGTGCAGGAGCGGCGGCGGCGGCGGCGGCGGCAGCGGCGGCGGCGAGGAGCGGCGGCGGCGAGGAGCGG